GCATGACCAATTGCCTTGCATAAATAGGCTGTTAGTTTAGCTTTACTGTGCACGCTGTGTTTTTTTCTTCGCAAAAATCAAGCTCAGGGCAAACTAGTCTGTTTACAGCTTTGAACTCAAATACGTGCACAGAAAATTGGACAGCATCCACAGACAACAGCATGTAACATCTGGCCAGCAGCAGGTCGGCGCATCCAAACATGCAGCTGTGCCTGTGTATATATACAAGTGTATGTGTGTGTTTTAGAATATACAGAAGATGTGCTGTTAAGCTTCAGATCTTTTTAAATACGATCCACGAGGCTCCACCGGGAGAGGCATGACTCTATGTACTTACGCTAATTAACCATGAGCACCCGGGATGAATAACCCCCAGGACCATGCTGTTTTTTTCAAGACTCTATATCAGTGGAGGAAAAATAAAAAAAAAAAAAATAAAAAAACAGCCGTTTGTGAGTTTTAATTCAGTGGATGCGAGGAAAAATGATCCTCCTCAGTAAGGATAAAATAGATAATGTAAACATTGTTTATACTTTAATCCAACTCATTGTTGTATGTCAATCCCCAGTCACAAGCGATGTCAATATAATAGCCCTTTTCTACACTAAAGTATATCCCGAGCAACCACACAAATCATGTGAAATGTAAGGGTTTGTGAATGGCAGTTTCTTATTTGATGTGAATAGCATTTTTGATTAGCATTTAGTCCCGGCTGGTAGGTGTTGCAATAGACCATTCTTTTGCAAATGGCAGGCTCTTAAAGGCACAAAATTGGCTTATTTCTTTAGTCACATAGCATGTATAGCTATCCAGAGTATCCAGGCTTAGATACATAGCATAGTGTTTCCAGAGCAGTTATCCATGAGATTGCATTCTTCGAGGGCGTACTATATATAATACGTGCATCAGGTCTTAAAGTGATATTTATACACTGAGCTTTGACATCAACACCCACTAACCCACCAAACGCGGGTGGATTATAGTGGCACGTCACAGAGTCACTTGTTCTAGCCCCTGGCAGGTAGAATTCAACATACTGACGTCTTTTAAAAAAAGTAATCTGAAATAAAATAAGTGCAATTTAGTGTTTTTCGATACATATCGATTCTGAAACACTCCCAATCCTCATTTCCCGCAGATACACAACACCAGCTGTGCTTTCTCACTCTCTGATTTCCTTGACAGCGTGAGATTGTGGCGTATTGTGCGTATTAAGCATAGTTTTACTCATTCACACAAAGTGCGTGCACATAAGGCTGCCTCTCAGTACTAAATTGAGTGTTTTTTCGAGGCTTATTGTGCTTAAACATTCAAATACACACAAAATAATGTCAAAATGTGTGTTTTAAGTGAACGTAAACAGTTGAGAAAGAAAACGAATGTGTAATAGCATAATGGATACATGCGTTAGGTCTTAAAGTAACAGTAGCCTAATATACCCGCTGCAAAATGATGCGATAATATTGATATTCATATATTTTTTTTTAAGAATTTACAAACATACCAGAAGAGAGGGGTCCCAAATAAGGATAGAGAGAGAAATGAACAAGCATTGAGGAAATGGAAATGTGAAAACGGCCTAAAAAGATGGCTGTCAGTTCTAATCTATTCTCTTTTGAACAGATTCGACAAATCAGACAAAAACTGAGACATTTTGTGTGCCACATGGTGAAGAAGATTCACATCAATTCTGTTTTACATCTGATTGTAAAACAATCCTCCCTGTTTAGAAATGGGACGAGAGCGCACCAGAGGGCCATAAACGCTAACGAACAACGCATGTAAAGACTTTGGCTCAGAGTGTCAGTGTGAGGAATTTATCACCAATGCTGTCTGTAACAGTCCAATAAATGATAAATGATGGAAGGAGGCTTCCACAGCACCTGCTCCCCTCATAACAATGGCAACGGATTAGGACAGGGTTGAGGAAAATGGCAAAACCTGTTAGCTAGAGGGCCAAGATAGAGGTATTGCAACAGAAATAGGGAAATAGAGGGCGACAATAGGATGACGACGAAAGAGAGTTAGCCCATCTGTTACTACAATGGCGTCCCAAATGCAGCTCCATGGCTGATATTTACTGTACATGTGCTTATATCAGGCGAGGCTCTTTCCCAATACAAATATACGAACAAGCAGCTTTACCGGAGCAAAAAAACGGTAGCAACACAACCACAAATGTTAAGTAAATAACAATACAGCAGCTATAGGTCAGCTGGCAGCAAAGAAAGCTGGTGTTTCCATGGAAATAACAGGACAGAGAGTCCGCCGTAATGCACGGGCACATGTGCGCACTTAACTGAAACTCATAAACTCAACAGAAACTTACTTTTCAACACTCGAACGCCCCCCACAGGAGCGAAGCAGCTCCTCATTAATAACTAATTACAAGAGCTAGAGAAACAGCTTGAGACATTACGAGGCCAACACTGAACCTAATCAGCATTCAGACAGGGTGGATCAGGGATACGCCTGAAGCCACTCAGGCATTCACGGATTGGTTCGTAGGGCAGTTCCAACTACAGGCTGGGCAATGTGCTTTTCGTTTGTCATGGAGGACTTTTGAAAGGACCATAGGTTAAAATTATACACATCCTTTAGAAAAGACAGTAGTCTTGTAAGTTTATTGGCTTGAAACAAAAAGTATTGGACAAGGTTTTGAAAGAGTATAATCTAGCATGGCACATCATTGGGCTTCTAAACAAGCAGGTTTGTTTTAAGGCCTTTGCAAGTCTCTTTGAAGAACCAGTGGGATCCTTGTAATGTGTTTGCGTGCAACTGGGATTGAAAGCCTGTGAACAAATTCCTGCGTATTTCTGTTTGCATGTTATGTGTTATGTTGTTTCCTTTCTCCGGAGGAGTTTTGGAGCATATGGACCAGTTCATTAGAACTAATGTGCCATAATAGTACGTTGCTCACGAGGCTTTTGCACAAAGCGTTGCCAGTGATAACAAAGCAATCATTTCTAACAAGCCGCATTAGCATAGAATCAGCTGTGAGAATCCCAGCGGTGAGCTATCATCCCTGCTTTGTACAGAAAAAAAATAAATAAATGCCTTTCGGAGGGTAAAAATATGAAAGACTTCAGGTGCAGATTCTCTCATCTTCACGTTTCATTCCCTCACTTGGTTGCAATGGTGCCATTTACACAATCTATCCATCCCAGGTAATCTCAGCTATGTTAAATTTGAAAGCTTCTTCATCTAAGAATGAACTAACTCTCACGTCTGTCCAAAACTGTATGAATTTATTTGTAATGTGATCTGGGAAAACCCACCACATGGTGAAATTTGACATATTACAGGTTTTATTACCATATTATAGCTGGGTTCAAGCCCTTTCCAAAGCTGTTTTTATTTATTTTATCGTTTGTCTGTAACAAAAGTTCTGGTTATCTGAATTTGGCTGATCGCTATGATTTTCAGAAAAGGAATTTTGAGAAAAACAGTCCTGCTAGCACATATTTTAGTAATCATCATATATTAGGTATCATTCAAAAGCTTACAAACTCAAAATTGATCCTGTGAAAAGCGTTTTGAAATTGGAAGATTGAGAGGCGAGCAAGGTCTTTTAAGCGAGCAGCTTCAGACATTGTTGTTCTCTTATCAACACACCACATGATAACGCTGGATAAAAACAAAAAAATAAAAACTTGTGTGCCGTTGTAGTTTACACAGGACTGGCGGGACCTTTATTCTGTTATGTGGTTTATTTTGATAGACAAAACTGTCTTTTGTAGTGTAAAGAGAAGAAGAACTAAATGGGCGATTTTGTTGTTTTTTGCCCCTCTGCTGCGCCGTGCGTGTTGTTAAAGAGAAAGAAGTTTTCAGCTTTTACCAGTAAAAATCTATATTTTTCTGCACTAAACTAGTGAATTTTCCCAAGATATAATCAGACATGATAAACAAGATGTTATAGAGTAATAATTTATTGAAAACCCAATTTTGACCAAAAAAAAAAATGACATTCGATCTGTTTTTAGAACTTACTGAAAATGTACCAGCGCTACATTTGACGGGTTTTCCTAGATCGCATCACATTTATTCGGCAAAAGACAAAATCAAATATTTTGGAACAATACAGTATGTTTTATTCCTTCAATGGTTTGTCCAGTCCATTCTCATCCCAATGCGTCATAAATGTCATAAATGAAAGGTCATTTTGACCTTTCGTCTACATCCAACGCAAATGGCACCCTTTAGCGTCAATTTGAGATGCAGATATTTATGTGCCAGAAGGCGCCTCCTAGTGGTCTAACCCTAAACCTACCCCAGAACTAAACCTACCCATAACCAAAGTGTGGTAAATTGACACTAAAGGGTGCCATGTGCGTTGGATTTCGACGAAATTTAAAAAGTGTCACTATATGACGCTCTAGAATGAGAATGCGTTGGTTTGTCATAGAGCTGCAAGAATAATCAAATTGAAACAGAATTTGTGATACAAGGCTGCAATTTAATAAAATAAATATATGCCTTATGAGTTTAAGCAGCTTGGTCTTCCAAAATAAAATAAATGGTTTAATGTTTGAAATGGAAGAAAACAAGGCAGTCATAAATATTAGTATTTAAATATTACAGTTTACAAGAAAGAAAGAAAGAAAGAAATAAATAAAGAAAGAAAGAAAGAAAGAAAGAAAGAAAGATCCTTAAATCCTAATACCAATGTTTCATGATAGTTTGTAATCTTATAAAACTGCATGTTTTATCATCACTTAACTATTTAGCATTAGCAACAATTAGCCTGCAGTTTCTCATGTGACTTGATGACACACAGTTAATCTTTGCTCTCTGAACACATCAGTAGTAAATCATCAGTACCCACACCTTTCTGTGCCTGCAAGATGCTCATGCTTCATTTTTGTTGTCACATTTCCTCTAAAGCCACAGGAAGTGATGGAAGCCAGCCCTTTCACAATGCCCGAACCTCCCTCGCCTTTCTGACTGCTGTTAACTTCCTCTGACAGGGCTGCTTTGCTCTCTGTGCAGGTCTCTAACTCCCCACTTCCTCATCCAAGCCTGAGTGCCTTTACAGCCACGAGGATCCTGTTCTTTTTAAATCGCCACACGTGAATGATCAGCAGCATCACACAGGCAGAGCAGGACTTTCTGGAGGTACGTCTGAGAAAAGAAAGGTGGTGATGAGTGATCGATATACTCCATTATGTTCTGCTCTAGGTCGAGTGTGAGAATAGTCTGATATTATTCCTGCTCATCCTTAAAATAACTACGAGATCCCCGCAGGAAACCGCAGCACTGGACGGGAGACTGACAGAACGAAGTAGATAAAGAGGAAGAATGGGATGCAGTGGAGAAACTTCCAGGCAGACTTTAATATACTAGTCCTTCTAGCAGCTTTTATGCATGCGTCAACACAAAACATTGTTCTGGTAACCTTGTTTTGCAGGATTCAGTGAAGCCTTTGTTATTCAAGGCTAAATGTATTTGACATCTGTGGCTTTTCACTTGACTTGTTTGTATTTTTCATGAGCAATTGAGCAAGTATTAAAGTTATACTGTGTGTGAATTTTAATGTTTTGTTGTTCTGTTCAAAAGTTTGGGGTTGATCATATTTGTTAATGTTTTCGAAAGAAGTCTCTTGTGCCAACCAAGGCTCCATTTATTTGATCAAATTAGCAAAAAGACTAGTATTGTGAAATAGCATTACAATTAAAAATAAATGTTTTCTAATTTAATCTATTTTCAAATGTAATGTATTCCTGTGATGGGAAAGCTGAATTTTCAGGAGTCATTACTCCAGTCTTTATAGAGTAATATGATACACTAATTTTGTTTTTAAGAAACCTTTGTGGGGATTGCAATATTTTTATATTTTTGTAATTGATATAATTACATTTTTTTGTAACACTATAAAATGTCTGTACTGTCATTTTTTTAATAAAGTCTTTGCTGTATTAAAGTATTAATTTATTTGAAAAGAAATCTTTGTCTGACAACAAACCTTGAGCAGTATTTTGGTGAGATACAGTAGTTTCACATTACTAGTAATAACAGTTGTAACTAAACCTAAACGTAACTCTATAGTAAGTACATTTAGTTAAATAATATTATTCAGTACATTTTTGAGTAAGTACGACGCAACTATATGTCAACTATGACACTAAGTCAAACAAAGTGTAACCTTATATATTTTAATATAAATTAACTATTTCAAGCGTAATTTTAGAATTTTCTTGCTGAGCCCCCAGCGTGAGTTTGCAATGCATTCTCACCCCAAGGCGTCATCTAACTGACAATTTTCATTTTCAATCATGCTTCATAGCGTTAGTTAAATGACGCGATCCTAGGGCGACACCAAATCGTTTTTAGCCAGCTGAAAATGCTAGACGCTCTGCTGAAGACACTGTGCTTTGGCCGTTGAGAGCGTTTTGACAGCGCAGCGTTTTTCCATTGAGACGTTCGTTGCTATGATACAGAATATCCGCAGCACAGTTTACTTGTAACTGATTTCGCAGATAATTTGTTTCATACTAAAAAAATATTTTTCATCCATTTTGTTCGGTTAGCTCTGCTGGTTGATGTCGTTGTAAGAATGTTGTGACAGTTGGTCAGTGAGGTATTAGCCCCGCCCCTCCCCCACTGTGATTGGACAGCTGGGTAAGAAGTGACAGTGATGAGCACCGCGTTTTGTCCAAAGTTGAAAATTTTTCAACTCTCGGCGACCAGTAAAAAACACTGGGTGCTCGGCGCTTCAGCGTGAATAAAACGCCTCGTTACGCTCATGGCGTATAAAAAACGCGCCGCTCCCATTTAAAAAAAATTTGAAAACACACGGTGGTGGACACACGGCCTTAGGGTTGAACTAGATCCTAGGGCGTCATCTAACTGACGCTAAAGGGTGCCTAAAGCGTCGGATATTGAAGCATGGTCAAAATGCTTCCCAAGGCGTCAGTTAGATGACGTCTTGGGATGAGAATGGGCTGGAGTTTAAGTCTGTTGGATCTGTTGGATTAACAACGTGTCAATTCATCCAATTCTCCCAAAATACACAAAAGGAAGTGGCCAGTGAAGTGGGAGAAGGATGGAGTAAACATTATAGTTTATATAGTATACATATTATAGTATACAAATATATTTTTGCTAGTACTTATATTTAAATGTCTGAAACATAAAATGAACATTATGTGGTTGAAATGTGTATGTGTAGTTGAGCGCTTTGATCTCTGGCTCAGAGGCAGTGCGATTTAAAAAAAAAATATGATATGCAGAAATACTATTTTTTTAAGAATCATGTACGTAATAACATTCATACATACAGTATAATCAAGGCCTTTTCAGATTCCTCCAAAATGAGGTCATAACATCCCTAGAGTGTGACTTTGGCGGTGCTTCAATGACCTGGTCTGGACCCAACCGAAATTCCAAGATCAGTGAGGCGTGGCTGAGATACTCCACTTGATCCCACTCACCTGTGGATAATGATTTTAAGACAGATGAGAGCTGAGGACATGCAACCTGGGAAAATCTGCTGTCAACCTGCAAATCTCCATATACATGCAAGAGCCATTTCTCAGTGATTGTACTGAGTTGATGGGGAGAGACACAAGGAGAGAGAGGGAGGGGCAGCTGGAGCCCTGCTGAGTGAATTCTAATCAAGCCGACCCTTAATCACTAGGTGTGAATGAGGAGTGGGTTTCGTTAAAAAAGATGAGCCCTCTTACTAGTATTGCACAGGGATTGATTGCAGGAGAGATTTACTGCCGCACCAAAGCACCTTTTTACTCGTACCCCTCCATAAACCACAGCAGAGCCACAGAGAAGCCATGGCAACGGAGCCCAGCATGTACTCACATCCCACCGACCGCAGCTCCGACTGGGGAAGAAGAGGATCAGAGCAAAACAGAGAGAGAAACGGGAGGAATACGCACAACGAAGAGTGTAAAAAGGAAGCCAGCAATTAACTGTACCAAAAAGGGACTCGCTTGCTCTCGTCCAAATGCTTTCCGATTCGTTTTGATGATGTCTTGCAGAACATTTTGTATGTCCCGTTTTCCCCAGCCCATGAATAAATGATAAGTCCGCTTTTTAAGAGACATACATCAACAAATTCATGACAACAGTTATGCAGAAGATCAAAACCCAATCCAGAAGGACGAGAGAAGGTGCTGTGGTTACAGTACCTAATGAATTCAGCCTCTGACAAGATAAACATTCTTTAAGGTTCACCTATGAACACTCATTGCATATCCGAGCCATTTAAAGATAATGAATTACACTGTGCACAGATTAACAACTCTCTCCTGGTCCCAACCCTGCCTTAAAACTATTGATATCCTATAAGAACACACATTAACCATCAGCAAACCTGTTTTAAGGGGATAGTTTATCCTACAATGAAATGATGTAATTTCTTCCAGCCCGGTCTCATCCCAAGGCGACATAAAGGTGACGCTTTTGAAATTGCGTCTACATCCGACCAGGGCCTGAAATTTACACCCGACCACCTGCCAAATGCGGGTGAATTTTGCTATTGGCGGGTAACACTGTCAATCTACCTGCCACATTGGCAGGTAGCCAATGAGAATTGTGAGTGATTCATAGGATTTTTACATTTCAACGAAGTCCGCTATTGCGTTTGACTTTAGCTAAAATGTGGCGGCACATTACTGGGGTAAAGAGGCCAGCTGAAACAAAACAGCCAACAAAAAGATGATGAGAAAAAGAAAAGTAAAGAAGACATTTTAATACAAAGTGAACAATCGGCGGCAATGGCAAGGTTCGTGAGCGGCTGATTTATGACAGCGACTGTTGTTTCGTAACGTTCATGCGATCAGAAAGAAGATGAGGCTCTTTTTCTGACTACGTGTGCGAGTATTAAACTGTTGGTGAGATGGGATGAGATAATGTAACGCGTCGCTGTTGTAGGTTAAAGTACAATGACAGTTGCACAGATGTGTGTGCGTGTGCATGTTGGGAGTTGGGAACCGGTGAGAAAATGTCCGGTACCCGGTAATTTTATCAGTAATAACAGTATCAATTTAGTTCATGTTTAACCGTTCCTGAACGCTGTAACTAAAAGCTGTTAAGAGTAAGACCTACGTGACTAAATCCGCCATCAACACAGCCGCGTGTGATTTGTTTACGAGCTGCGGTAGGTCTATCTGTTGAGTATATATTATAGCCTATACTATATATGTTGTGTGTGTGTCTGTCAAAATCAAGGAATAAAAAGATTTTTTTTTTTTTAAATGTATGTTATTAGAGTTATTATTACTTGACAGCACTTAAATGTGTATTCTTACAAGTTAAAGAACAATATTGTGAAATTCCTGGGTTTCTTTTTTTTCTTTTTTTTTTTTTTTTACGTTTATGAGGCAAAAAAAAAATGGCTGGTAAAAAGTCTCTTTGGCAGGTGAATTTTTAAATCCACCTGCCACAGTGGCCGGTGGCCAAAAAAATTAACTTCAGGCCCTGCATCCGACACACTTGGCACCCTTTAGCGTCAATATGAAACACAGATATATAAGGGCCAGAAGGCGCCTCCTAGTGGTCTAACCCTAACACTACCCCAGACCTAAACCTACCCATAACCAAAGCGTGTTATATTGCCAAAAAAGATCTAAACCTTTATAACTTCACTTCCTCCATGGAACACCAATCATAAAATAGTACAAATTACAAATCTATTCCAGTTCTTCTGAAGCCATAACATATCTTTGTTTGCGGAACAGACCAAATTTTAAGCTGTTATTTGCATTGTTCACAATCTTAATTTTTTTCTATTCTGGGCATCTCAAATCTCAAAAACTACTCGTCAAACTCACAATTAAAAAAACGTGTTTAAAAAATCAGCAACATAATCTGACATGAACTCAGAGAGCATCAAAAAGCTTATTTTTCAGGTTAGATAAGCTAATGTGCATGTGCAGGCGTAAGTGAGAGTCTCTCCGAGCTTTAATTAAATGGCAGCTGGTAAAGCGGGATTTTGAAAGTATTTTTTTTTTTTAATAAAGTAGCAGCTAATTCACATTAGCATCACTCTTACTTTTTTGTATGATCTGCTTACGACCCATGCAGTGATGGTTGTTTGTAGGGATGGGGTTATGGCTGGACCGTCATAGCATTTTTTATTCTATTCTTAATCGTAAGTATTGTACGATTCATATCATCATGTGACATCATGAAAATGCCACTTCATAAAATAGTTATGTGTTCCCATGAGATTGTGTAGATACTTCTCTCGTGAACTCTCACCAAGGAAGAGAAGAAGAGCTTGCTTGAGTCCAATTTATTAATTAATCTTTTATGTTAAACCAATTTTGTAAAGTGAATCAAGAGATTCATTGAAAAGATTTGACTCTTTCACCCAAAATTGGATATAATACTTCTCTCATGAACTCTCATTAAAAATCCAAAATGTCAAGATCTTCAAACTATTGTATTGGTCACTTTTATGATACATTTTTTTAGTATTCTTTTCTCTCTCTCTCTCTCTCTCTCCTTCTTTTTAGGGGGCTTAACTCAATCCCCGATCACTTTCCAAAAAGTTCCTTATATAACAAAAAG